AAGCTCTAAAAAAAATGTAAGGTACATGTATTAGGCATCCTATTTAAAATTGTGACAGATTGTAAATGCATTGAAACAAACTAAGAGCAAGAAAGACCTTTGTATTAAAATATCAAGATGGGCAATAATGTTACAAGATTATGGTTACCCAAATAAACACAGATCTGGTACCTGTATGAAACATGTTAATAGAAACTCTACATATATGGATATTAAAGATGGTGTAACATTCACAATAATTCAAGCTCATTGATGAAAATATAAAAACTATAAATGAAGTTTTGAAGCTGTATGAAAATTACTGCTTACAAAATGGAGAATGAAAATGATGCTGCCAACAATGAATTAGTGCACACAGAAACTCAAGAAAATACTCCATACTCAGATTCAAAGACTATCTGAGGAAAACTTTCTTCACTTTTCTGAGGAAGAGTCAGTTGCTAAAAATGATGAATCAAATGCTAACTCTACTTAAAAAAAAAAAAAAAAAAAAAAAAAAAAAAAACAGTAACATCCACTGGAACAAACAAGTAAAAGAAACTACTGAAAATGTGAAAACTGCAGTCTGCTGAAGAAAAGGAAAAGGCTGAAAAGCAGAAGTCTACTGGAAAATTTGATGACAAAGATACTGATACAGAAATCAAAGATGGAACAAAAGAAACTAAAGAAGTTGAGAAAAAGCAAGTAGAAAAGCAGACATGGAATATCCAAGAAGAATATTGAAAGACTTTGATGGCGCAACCCCGTTTTGAGGACTCCCGATTCAGACTTTCCCTCAGCTTGATAGATTTCTCCTGATTTGATTAAAAGACTATTATTCTAAAGCAGAGTTTCTTAAACTGTGGGTTGCGACTCCCATGGGGGTTGTGAGACCTGCAGCAGGGGGGTCACCAAAATTTTTAGCAGGTTTGGTATTTCTTTAACTTATTATAATAATTTTACAATAACAAACTATTTTTACATAATGTATTTGAAAATAGATAAAGATAAGACAATACAGATAAAGAAAAAACAAAAACGTTTTAATGCATTCTTTTTATAACATAAACATTCATTTTACTTGCTTTGCACGTGACGCTGTCACTTCGTCTGTTACTTTATTTAAAATTTTTACTTTGTTCTAAGTCTTAAAATTAGAAATTAAAGTTAATGACCTAGAAGTGCAATAGTATATTACAGTACAAGTGAAAAAATTGACAGTTTCACTCATGCGCGTGTCGGATTTGCGCAATCCTTATGGGGTCTCACAAAATTTCATAAATATTATGGGGTCCTGGGGTCGCGAAAGAAAATCTCAGAGATATTGTGATTGAAAAAAGTTTAAGAATCCCTGTTCTAAAGACATGAACTGTTTTTAGCAGAATGAAATGTATTAAAGATGGCTTAAGGAAGATGATGTTTAAGATGACACATCCAGATGACATTTAAGAAGATACGATGTTTAAGAAGTCGTATGAATGAAGACTAATTCAGTCGGACTCATCCAGGCAATATTGAAGAAGATATTTCATGGTGATGACATCCTGAGACAACCACAACAATGAGACTCCACAATGATGACGATTGAGGGAAAACGCAGTGAAACTTAAAATTCTTTTCTCTCTCTCTTTTTTAACATGTATTTCGTTTTACAAATCTCTAGAGATGATCATCACTTTTCCAACATGCGAGGATACATGCCATTAAGACAGACGAGCATATGTGAGGCATTATACTTCACAACCAACAGATGGTACTGTTTCGTGAGGGAGAAAACACAGATGAGGTAGTAATCACAATATAAGACATATAAAGATGCATACGACATATAAAGATGTGTATGCATGTCAACTGGACTAGTGTGTGTAATGACCCCTTGTAAGTTTCATTACTTTATGCTCTCAGACTTCAATGTAAGAGAAGTTCCACACATTGTAATTAGATTGCACAATAAATATTAATTGCAATTATACTATACAATTCTTTTGTAATTATAATTACAATGTCATTAAACTATCACAATTATAATTACTGCATAATTGTAATTATACTGTAATTATAATCATGTTACTGCAATTATACTGTAATCGAAGATCTGAAAGGAAAACCATTATTTCCATTTTTTTTAAAAATTGAAATAGCAATGCCATTTAGTGAGCAACAGAAATAGCTTTTATTTTATGAACCACTTCAAGAGAAAAAGTATTCATATCCACAATTGTAACCAAGGAAAGATTTTGTAAACTGGGAAAAAATATTTTTTTTTGTTCACACAACACACTTATCATGTTCGTTCTTGTCTCTTGAAAGGTTGACTTGTTGATTTCTACATCAGGTCTTCAATATTGCTTGAACATGGAAACTAAAAATTCCAGTGCAGGCTCTGCTTCAATGGCTGAATTTTCTGCCAAGAGGAGGAAACACAGGTAGAATCTGAGACGTTATGGAAGTTTTAAGAGCAACCATACATTAATTAGGACCTTTTTTCAATATTTTTCTTTGATTTGTGATTATGGAAAACAAATTCTCCTAATTTAAGTTAACTTGAGAATTATAATACCCAAAATCACCATCTTCTCAGTCTTATAACACTTTTGCTTGTGATTCACCAACAGTTTCATCAGATAAATGAGGAATCTTCTTATACTGCCTCTTACTGAGCCCATTATTTCCAAGATGGGCAATGTAATGATGTGCAAGTTTGTTTAAATACCTTTGCTTCTTTCCCCAGAATTACAGACAAAGGGTTAAAAACTTAACAGAAGCTTTGATAGTTCATGGAAAAGCATCGGTAGACCAGAGGAAAATATACAAACTGAAAACATGCAATTCCCGAGAAAACAATTTCTAAATAATCAAGTTCATCAGCTTCCTCATGGGGAAATCGGCTCCACCTGCTGGAAAAGCTATACATCAAAATTACTCAACATTTACGAAATGAATAATCCAAACAATCCAGTCTCATATGATAAATTCAGAGATATTTAACATCTGATTCAGTTAACCAAAAAAGGGCACTTACAGTCTTGTGATACATCAAAAAGAGAGATTGATATGCTTGCCAAAAAATTAGAAAAAACTTGCTGTAGGGCCAGAAAAATCAAAACTAATCTAAGACCTGAAAATTAAATGATGAAAAAAAGAGCTTCATATCAGGAAAATTATGATAGGGAAAGAAGCTTTTTGTTCCCAAGACTAACAGAAGAAACTGGGGGAAAAAGAATTTTAGTCAACTTGAAAAAAAAAAAAAAAAAAAAATGTGTAAGAGGATCACTTGTGTCCTTTTATATATATATATAATGTTGTAGAACTTAAATCCATTTAGTGCGAATACAAGTTATTATTACTTGCGCAATTGCTGCAAAGTTAGTTATAATAATTTATTTCCTAAACAGTATTGATAAATTGATTATATTATCTCCTAAGTTTAATTAAAGTAGAATTATTTTAAAAGTGTGCTTCCATACTGGTAAGTTATATTTTGAAAGATGTTTTGAAGTAATTTGAAAGCAAAATGTTAATAATGTTTTAACGGGGACTGGAGTTAAATCATCACGAAGAATAATATTACAATTGTAAAAGGAAAAATTAAAACATGTAATTATTGTCATTGATCGGGCAATTAAATTCTAATTACATTGCAATTGTAATATATTGTAATTAGATTATTTTCAATTAAATAGTCTAATTACAATTTCATGCTCCAATTGCAATGTAATTATAACATTATATAATTATTATTATTAATTGTAATTGCAATTACATTTTGCGAAACTCTGGCAAAAGAAAAAAAAAAAAATATATACATAAGTATAATAAATAGCCAAAGTACTATATTTCAGACTCAACTTTGCCAGTGTGTAACAGAAGCAAGGCAAAATTTAGTGGAACAACATATCTTTAGTTGTCAATCTCATATATCAGAAATAGTATATGACAGAGGCTAGATAAGCTTTATGATGACAGCTGGGAATTTCAAGGCTTTCAGATGTTGCAAATAAATGGTGAAGCTTTTAAATTAATGAAATTTTTGAAGTGGAGAAATGGTAGTAAATAAAGATGATGTAACAGAAGTTTTTCATTATAATAACAATACCTATTGATCATTAACTAGCAAATGGCGAAATGTGTAGTGCACTATCACTACCGAAAATATCACTATCATTACCGATAGTGACAAAGTGACAGAGAAATTGTTGAGGATAAAAAAAATTCTATTAACAATTCAATGGGAATTAAACTGAATAAAATAGAAAATTTTTGACATTTACAGAACTTGAACAACTGGAACTTTGAAAGACAAAATTTTGTCTATTCACAGAATTAAAAAAAAAAGTATTAGCACAAAAAAAAAAAAAAAAATCAACTTAAAACAAATTAAATGAAATAAATACTTAATATAGCAAACAAATAAATACTTCTGCTGCCCAGATGGTATAGTGTTTAGGAAACCGACTGCGATACCAAACGGCCCATAATCTAATTCCAGAGAAAGCAGTTGTTGTCACTGTTAGTTGGAACTTCATAGCAGGCAAAGGTGGCCCACCTATTAAGTGCCTCCATAATAAAGTGACCACCACTTCTAGTCTTAGTTGTGGTCAAGCTGAAGTCGGCTGATGGCGCGCCGTTGGGGAAAAAAATATCCTGATAAATCCCAAATCTGGAATTGGCCAAAATCGCAAGTCTGAAACTTTGACTTTTCACTGTACATATATGAAAAGTTTCAGGAATAATAATAAAAAAATATGGGAAATATATTGTTGATCATACTGGTGAGAGTATAGTAAAACAATCGTGATAGCTGGCACTTGTATAGCATGTATAGTACTTGTCTGTATTTGTTTAATAGTATAAAGTCAAAATATTTACATAAATAGAATAGAATTAAAAAATTGATATGATTAAGTAAAAACAATTTTTTACTATTGCGCTAAAATAAAATACATTAAAAAAAAGCTTTTTTTAATGCAAAGAAATATTTTTCATTATAAAAGCAATTAAAAAAGAAAGGTGAAATTTACTGTTTTAAAGGATCTGCTTCAAATGTTGAACCAGTAGGTAATTGCAAGTACAGGTACAATTTCTCCACATCAGATAAAGCCCTAATTTCATTCTAGAAAAAGAAAAAAAAAAAATGTTATTGCTGAAAGCACACTGAAGATAACATGAAAGAAAAAATACAGATACAATGAAACATTGATTAAAGAACTTAATTTGATTCTGAAAAATAGTTTATCATCCGGAATATTCACAAATCAAAACAACTTTCCCCAAATGCAATTAATATAAAACAAATTAATCCCAAATGATTGTTTAGAGTACTTTGTGTTTGGCAAAACTAAGTTAATTAATTGAATTTAACATACACACAACATAAACATATACAATACTAAACGTATAAAATTTTATCGCATCTCTAGGAAGGACAATTCACGCTAAGTAGAAAATGGTGAAACCAAAGGTGCAAAATGTGACTGTTTTGAAATGGAAATCCTATTTCACAAAAATTCATGTAGCTGCTATCTTTCTGGTACATTTTTCTTTGTCTTTTCTCTATGGCGGATGGCGTTCGTACCCGAGGACAAATATCCAGAACCAACCGCTTGCGGGAGGAGACCTGGTGTTTGATCTTAGGAGCGGACGGCGGCACCTGACCCTTAGGATGAATATCCGGAACTGGCCGCTTGCAGTAGGAAACCTGGTGTTCATCTGAGGGGCAGGGTTTAAGGGAATGGAGACTAGGAAACTAGCTCTTGTCTCCCTCAGTTCAGCACCAGCCTCCTTGTGGCACCCGGTGGAAACTATGTCAGCTAAGGCTTTGGCTGGCGTAGGCTAACGATGCCGGAAAACCAATCCCTTAGGATCGACTGGTAGGCATTTCTGGAACCAACCATTTAATGGAAGGAGACCCGGGGTTCTTCCAGACTGCTGACTAGATAGCTTCAGTTCTTTGGGTATATAATCAGTCTTCACAGTGAGTAGAACCATCGATTATTCAGTGGTAGGTTCAAGCTTGGCAGGGACCGTACTGGTACTGTCACGTCTGTGACACTGAGACATTGCATGTAGATATTAAGGGCTGTCTGGGGGCGTAGGCCCCCAGTCAAGGCTCGACAATGGATGATGGCGAAAAGTAAAGTCCCCGTGAATGGATTAGAGAGAGTGGTGCTCCTCCGGAGAGTTGCTGAACGCTAGATATTACGAGTGTTGGAATTTTAATAGTGGCAACTATTTATTTACAAGGAATACAAAAGTGATTCATATCACCATGTTTTACAGTCCTTCAATATAGTCGCCAGCATTGTGTACAACCCGTTTCCAACGATGTGGAAGTTGCAGAATACCTGTAGCAGCGCCTGTTTTGTTGATAGTTTGAATGGACCGGTTCTACTGCCGCAAGAATCTCAGGACAGTTTTGGAAGCAAGTGCCACGAAGTGGTTCCTTCACCTTAGGAATTAAGCCATAGTCACATGGGCTTAGATCTGGGGAGTATGGTGGATGGTAAAGCACTTCCCAGCCCCATCGCTTGAACAAATCAGTCACAGCTTGCGCTGCATGCGGCCAAGCATTGTCACGCAAATGAGAGGAGCGTTCTGCAGAAAGTGTCGCCGTTTTTTTCTCAAAGCTGGTCGGAGATTGTGATCCAAAAATGAGCAGTAATACTGCGCAGTGACGGTCTGCTGTGGGGGAACGGTATGTGTTAGAATGACACCATCACAGTTGAACATGATAATCACCATAACTTTCACATTGCTGGGGTTCTGACGAAATTTCGAATGTCGTGGTGACCTGTGATGACACCATTCGTTTGATTGGCGTTTCAGTTCTGGCTGGTACGATCGCGCCCAAGTCTCATCCAGCGTAATGATACATGCCGTAAAAAGCATCTCCTTTGCGCTCATAGCGCTCCAGGTGGGTTTCTGGCAGCATTGTATCGTAGCCATTTCTGCATTTCCGTCAAGTGATGTGGAACCCATCGTGAAGCAATTTTTCTTATGGACAGGCATTCCTTCAGAATGTGCAACACAGTCATATGCGCTAATCCTGTTTGTCCAGCCAGCTGATGAACCGTTTGGCGGCAATCACTGTCCACTAGTGCGTCACACAGCTTGCACGTCTGCATCGCTGACACTCGGACGACCTGGCCGCAGCATGTCTGCCACGTTTGCCCTTGATGACACTGTCGTGCTGTACGACCTCTGGCACATTCAATTTTATCCAACATCGTTGTTCTTGTTTTGAAAACATCCGACAACACTTACTTTAGACCGCGAGCTAATACAAGGATCCGTTCTTCGCGTCACTCCGCATGCGCGTGACGTAGGCAGGACGAGTCTTTTTGCTGAGAGGTAAGGTAGGTATGTAGTTTATGTGTGGTATAAGCGATATTCTTTGGTTTTGTTGCGTAGCATTTTTTCAGCTGTGTTGCCACTATTAAAGTTCCAACTCTCGTATTATAACTATATAAGGTGGCCAAAACGGCTTCTAGATAATGGATCCACTTTTGGTAAACTGGCTTTTCTCCATCTCTTTACATTACTTGAAAAAATCGCTGAGCCTTTGTCCTATTAAAAAATTTCTTCATTGTGATTTGTTTCTGTTTATATTTTAAAATGCTCCTAAAGCCAGACATGGCATTGTCGTTGCAAATATTTACGCCTTACTACTGCTTTACCAGGGTGATAATGTTCCATGAACCTTTACACTTTACCCAAATTTTGCAGATCAAATAACTCTTTCCTTCTGCCTTCTTCTTCAGCAGACATTTCCACCATTCCACTAGCTGCATAATGGCGTATGATTTGTTGCAGGCTTACTTGTTTGTATCTCAAGACATCATTTTTTATTCAACACACTGTTTGTCAGCAAAATTTTTTTTATCAACAGATATGTCAATGATATAAGGCATTCATGGAACAAGGTTCTATCGTATTTCAAGATTGATGATTGAAAATTAACTTCAGTAACTAATCTATAATCTTTGTCATTGTTAATACATATGCAGATTGAATAACTACTCTAGAACAAAATTTCTAAAATTCAAAATGCATTGATGAATTTATGAAAAAAAAGGAGGCAATAAACTTTCTGCTAAATGAAAAGAAAGTATAATCTGACGTAAATGAAATAAAGCAATATAAAAGTAATAGTACCTTCTGTTTATCTGCAAACCCCACACACATACTGAAACATTGCAAAAAAAGCATTAACCCCTTAACTGCCATGGGCGTATTTACACGCCTTGCTCAGCCGATGCGTTAACTACCCCGAGCATATATGTACATCCTTCCAAAAAATTATCACTTGCTTTCTGCTGCTACCAGTAAAATCATTCGCAAAGCTTTTGAATGCAACACCACAATGACCTTGACAAAGTATACGAAGGAGTATACTATTTCAGAGAAGAGGGGGAGGAATTGGAGAAGGAGGTGTTTCTGAAATGGTGAAAGTAATGGCTGTGCTGTATTTGCTTGTTTCTTATTTGTGTAAAACTTTTGTATCTTCCATTTTCGTTTACTGTTTGTAGTAGATGCCAGGAATAAAGACAGACATAACGAATGTTACAAACCCACTTATCTTTTTTGAATTATTTTTTGATGAATTGCCCATGCTTCATATTGTTACTGAAGCTAACCGTTTACAAACTGGTATACAAACCAACATCCTGTAAAAGAAAAACCAAGAACAAAATCATGGCATCCAACTAATTCAGAAGAAATATATGTTTTCTTAGGTAAACTAATTTTACAAGGTATAACACTGAAACCTGATATTACACTTTACAGGTCTAAAAATAAATTAATTGAAATTCCATTTTTGGAGGATCCTTTTTATTATACAAACATTGTTTTCATTATACTTTTACTCTAAAAATTAAATTTTGTACTTTCACTTTTCTTTTATTCTTTATTTTGTGAAAGTAAACAGTTTTTAGAAAGCAAAACTTGCACTTATTTTCCTCCAATACATCACATAACTATGTGTGCTTGTGTGAGAAACGGCGGCACTGGGGAATGAATCTTGTACGTTTTTTGTGGAAGTTAAGGGGTTAATAAAGTAATACACCAAGTCATTAGCAATTCCAGTCAAATTTCATTTCACATTGAGTATACTTAATTTTGTTGTCACTGATCATAATGGGACTGTGGAGTTTGCAATTTGATGCAATAAAAAAAGAAGTTCATTTCTCATTCTATCCGATAACAAACAGCTTACAAATTACTTATGAATTCTATGAAGTTGTATTTCTATGCATTCTATGAAGTTGTACTTCTAAAACGACTAAATATCATGGAAACAGAAGGTAAGTATTGAAAGCAAAGAAATAGAATGTTGGTCAGAAATTGGTTTGAAGATAAACAGCTATATTTCGTTTACTACAACCATTCATTTTACTTTTTTCTATCAGACAAAGGAATGTACGTCAGTGATATTCAATGAAGAAGTCCTGGAATTATCCCCAAATAAAACTATCAATCGGTGTAATCACATCCAAGAAGTGTAAGCATCTTTTGTGGAAATAAAAGAAGAGTCCCAATAATTTGTTCCTCATGCTATTAAACTCATCTAGGAAAAACATTTATTCAATTATGCAAAAATTAAGCCTGAATAAAAATCACTAAATTTAAATGATATAAACTATTATATAATTCTTGTACAATTAAATTTGATTAAGTACAAAATTCTGAACTTTACTTCATTTCTGGATGATAACTTGAAACCAATGCCTCTAAATTAAAATCTTTCTTACAAGGATATTTTTTAGATTTATTTGAAAATATAAGATGTCTAATAATTTACAGCAAAATTTGTATTTGAACCCTTAATATTACAAAGATATCTTAAATAACTCTGATTATTCAAAGACAGGCTCTTGTTTTTTCAGGAGATAGAGACCAGTTATTACTTAACTGACATTCTTTCTCCTATTGGAAGTATATAAAATTTAAATATCATGTATTTTTACTAAAAGATACTAGTAATAATCTGTGACAAAGTAAACAAAGTTTATTTTAAATACTGCATTTCTTATGCCAAACACTGTCCTATACTCCTACTGTTCAATTCCACCAGAATATGTCAGTGATAGAAATATTTAAATAAGTTAAGAATTTAAGAAAATGAGAGCTGGACTACCAGTAGGCCTTAGATTTCACCGTGCTTTACCCAAAACAAGCAGTATATTTTCAGATTTGATAAGTTTCTCTTAGCTGTTAAATACTAAATATTAATTCATGCAATTTACAGAGCTAAAATACTACAGTAGAAATCAACTTGTGAATAGCACATAATTTAAATTTATGTACTGTCTATTATGCCTGCAAAAAGCAAAAGTAAATTTATGTTTGGTTTGCTCTGTACTTCAATTTGAAATAAATTTTAGTTGCTTTTATTCCATTCCTGTGTTTATTCAATATTCTGAAAGTGCAGTAAAAACTGGCACAAAAAATCATTTTTTAAGCTTAAAGGTTAGACTAATGTATTGTCAGTAAAAAGAATTCAATCTTATATTCTTGTTTGATACCTTTCTTAAACTAAAAACATCTGTCTCTGACCAACCATTCAAGACATACTTAATCATAAATTCTTAATAAAACATCCTCACACATCATTTATGAACGTGCGCAAGAACTATATAACATATTCTCTACACATATTAAATGCTATAAGGTAAACCTTCAAAATTCATAAAACATGATAAAATGAATCAAATAAATGGATTACATACAATGAAAGTACATGCTCTGGTTATATATGCAGTTTTGAAAGGATTGAACATGAAAACAGATCAAGCAAAAAGTATACAATGTTTATATTTTTCTTATGCACAATATATTTTCTTATATACTCTTGGATATTTTCTTATTGACTGCTACTTTAAAAGGCCCCTTCATGATCGTAATGACATTCCCTTTATTTACTATCATAACATCAGGATAATTTGGCAAATAACATGACTCATACCTTCTGCAGCACTCATAACTGTGGTCAGAAGAAGGAAATGGCCTTGAAGTGCCTATTCTAAAGTAAGAGACTATAGGTGCATGCCGGAGCAGATGACGTACAAATTACTATACAGTTATCTCCAAACTATAATTATTTATATCATACAATTTAAATAATAAAATTACAAATGCATATTACTTACTAAAATAGAAGAAACTTTTTCTTTTACTTCATTGCTAAAAGCAGTAAAGAAAATAAATAATTAGCATTAATCATTATACACAAAAGACAATGACATACAACATTTTTCATATGATAAAAACATTTTATATGTATAAATTAAAGAAATAATGAGCAATAATAAGAAAGATGAATTATTTTCCTTAATCAAGTAATAGCATTCGTATGGAGATTATTTTCAATAGTAACAGTACAGTTTTATCCATTTGCCTATTAGTCTTCCAGATTTATATCAAATGATGAACATTACTTCCTCATATGAACATTACATTACTGCTTTACATTTCGATTAAAAGAATATCTCCCAGTCCTTATAATACAAAACTGAGATTTTTCCAATCATTGTGACCGTATTCAGAACACAACGTTAAATTATATTCCAAGTTCTAATATACTTATTACTTTTCTGTTATGCACCAGCCATGCATTTTGATGGTACTATTGTAATAATATGTGTGTGTACTTAATTATTCTTGTTTACATGTAGACACACACATACACATAGTCTCTAGATAGTACTATCGTTGGATTTCAGCATGTGTTTGACTTCTCTTTCACACAGGCTGAAAACTAAGGGATGAGAAGTTTTTTATAATGCAAACTTTTTGTAATCGGGAAACATGCACGACCTCAAGCATTTAAGGGAGTAACGATTTTCCCAATTATATATTGTGCAAATAAAAGAGCATGGATGACACAAGTGCTAATGAATGATTGGTTTGAAAAGCCTTTTATACCCGACAATCGGCAAAATTTGAATTCTGTTGGTTTACCTGATGACTCATGATAGTCCTGATTGTAGACAACTATTCGGCTCAAACTTCACTTAAAGTTTTAGTGAAAGATAATGTATCCGTATTATTCTTCCCTCCAAATTGTACGTCTGTCATTTAGCCTATGGATATCAGAATAGTGCGTGCGCTGAAATGCAAATACAAAGTAGCATTTTTAAAATCTATGTAAATTTCTTGAACAATGGCAGATATTCAGAATATTTGTCTTTTTTAGCATAAAATCTGCTGTGTGGAGCATCACAAGATCGTGGAAGGATGTGTCTCCAAATACATTAAAAAATGCTTGGCATATTTTATGGCCAGCTACCATATTTGATGGTGAGGATGATGAAAATGACAGCTGGGAATTTGAAGTTTTTCGGATATCGCAAACTAAATGTGAAAGTTTCCAGTTAATGGATTTTGTAAAGAAATGTGGAGAAGCAGTAACAAATGAAGATGATATAACAGAAGGTTTTCATTGAGATGACAATGCTCCAATTATCAATCAAATAATGGACGGCGAAATCTGTAGTATGGTTCTAGATCCACAAAATTTCGCTACCAATAGTGAAGAAAGTGACAGAGAGGTTATTGAAAATGAAAAAATTTCGCTCGAAAAGTTAGTCGGTATTCTCGACACAGCAATTACAGGACTTGAACAGTGGAACTTTGTAACTGAACAAGAAATTATGTCTGTTTATAGAATTAAAGAGAAAGTATTAGCACAAAAAATGAAGCAACTTAAACAAATATTAACGAAATGTTTAATAAAGTAAAAAACAAATATTAATTTTTTTTTTTTTTTTTTTGTAAATTTTGATACCCTTTAGATCACAATTGCTCTTTATCTTATAAATTACGATTTCATATTTTTAATTACATAATTTCTGCATGCCATCTTACCAGACTTAAATTGATGATCTAATATCCCGAAAAATCCGAAATACAGAATCGGCAAAGTCCCTACAAATCCGGATTTCAGACTTTGTACTGAACAATGCAATTCACAGCGCATTTAAAAAGAAAGCTAATCCAATTTATCTCAGTTCACGTGGAACTACAACTGGCAATAACAGTAACTAAGCAACTGAGCTGAGATGTCTCACTCCGACTTATAGTTTTCAACCAGCCACACTAGATAGTTCTAGCATTTTCTGCTCCTTGAGATTTCTGGAAACCAATTAGAGGATGGACTTACGTTTACAGTGGTCAATTACATTTATTCAAATTCAAAACAAATTACTTAGCTTGGTAATTTTTCTCAATGTTAAATGCATGTGCTCCTCTATTTTTCCTTTTCCGGCATAGCTTTCTCTTAAAATTTGTCTCACGCTGCATTGCATGGGAAAATAAAACAATTTTAATTCTACTAAAATTAGCTATCTAAATTCAAATTTCGTAACAATACATTTAACCAGGGCCAGCGTCAGAGAATGTGCAACTGGTGTAGCACAATTTAGGGGCGGCAAAATTTGCACAATTTAGAGAATTCCTGGGTGGCATGTAGGAATTGAAGCAATTGCACTGGGTGGCCAAAAGCCTAGCACCGACACTGCATTTAACAATACATACTGTCAATACAAATTCTTACTCAATGTATCAATGTGGGTAGCCTGACACAGAATGCTTGCAGTTTTTGTTGTCTCAAAATAAACCTTTCTAAACTGGATGGTTTATTTTGTATTTTCTTGCTTTTGCCTAGTTAAAATGCTCAAGAAAGGTAAGAAATGAATGCATTCAGTACACTACATGCTGAAAAATATGTCGAAATTATTTTTGGTTAGAAAACTTAAAATAAAAAAAAAATAAAAAAAGCTTAAAATATTATTATCCAATTCTTTGATTATTAGCTCAAGCTTTTTTATCATTGCATTTGTTTTATCTCTAGTGGTAAGTAAATTAAGATTTTGTCCAGCTTTCCAAAAATATCAGCTAAATATGCTACAGATGCCAACAATTCACTAAATAAACTGCTTAGAAATTAAAATTTTGAGTCCCAGAGGAAATTTTGAATTTCTGATTGAAGTTCAAGAAGACAATTTAAAAATATATAACTAACTTGCTTTGGAATGTAACAAAAGTATTTCATGTTCACTGTCCATCTCTTGGCATAAAATCTTAAATATTCTTGAATTTAAAGCTCGATTTTTAATAAAATTAACAATTTTAACAACTTAATTCAAAATTATTTTTCAGGTTTTCAGGGATAGTTTTGGCTACTAATGCTTCACGATGAATGGAGCAGTGAGTAAATTTGTTTGTGTATTCTGTTCGACTGTTTGTGTATTCAGGTTAAACTTTCTTTATTTAAGAAATAATACCAGAATGTTTTCCTGTTAAGGCTCGAGCTCCATTACTGTATAGGGCAATGCAATTATTCCAAGGAATATAATTAATTCTAAGACAAAACTGTAAATTCCTTTGAAAAATTCATTTGAAGTTGATCTATTGCGAAGAGATTCACAAAATAAATACTCTTCAGGAATTTGTTTATCTTCTTCGAAATGTAAGCAAACTAATAATTGAACAAAGTACCTTCTGTCGGTACTATCATCCATTTGCAATGCGAAATACTCGTCTCTTTTATGGGATTTGCCATTTTATAAATTAGTCCAATTACTGTATCATTTTATAGCATAATATTATTATTAGCTACTTTTTTGTTGAATAATATTAAAATTATATCTTTAGCTGCTGGTAATGTAAGGTTTTCTTCAGTAGTGTGAGCCTGCTCAGTCTTGGTAATTCTTAGGCTTAGCTTCCAAAGCTTTTCACTTGAAGTAATAAAACCTTTTATTACTTGTTTACTCCTTTAAATTGACATGCTTAAATTCAAGATGGCTTTTAAGAAACAACGGTTTCATACTTTGACTGAATAATAGTTCATGGCAAGCAACACATTGAGGTTGAGGGTCCATTTCATCTCTTTTCCATATAAACTCAAATGATAAATAACTTTCATTACATTTTCTATAAACAATTTTTATTTTCTTTTTAATATTCTTAGGGCTAGTAGATTGTCTTGGAACCATCACCTGTGAATTATCACAATTCTGCTTAGTTAAGCTTAGCCCTTTTTCGATTTTGAAAGTCTAGGTTTCTTTTATTATTTTTGCACAAATATTTAAGTGCACAATAAAATACTTTTTCAAAGACAAACGATGATACTCTCAAATCACGTAGAAAAGTAAGGAATGCAAAGCAACAAGAATACAAAACACCTCCTGTTAAAGATAGCAAATCAACGTAAAAAAATTATTCTAATTGAAAATAGAGTAATTCGAGTACAGAAATGGTGGCGACATTAAGTGAAGACATGCTAATAAATCGATCAACTCTAAAAGAATTAATGAGATACTACAGTCACAAGTCGTTAATTCGGACCTCAAAGCTACAAACTTTCTACGCATGCGTCGCATTGACGCATACAAGAGCTTTACGGCTGCACATAATACATTTAGGCATGCGCATTTAATGTATAACGGACGGTATAAGCTAAAATTATTTAATTATCTATTTCAGTTAATGTTGCAGATTGCGTTGTTCCTTAATCTTCAAATTGAATCCGGTTTATTATTTTTTTGGAGACTGTTAGAGCAATTTTATAAAAGTAAGCTTGAACTTTCGATTATGTCAAATAGAATTTCCGATGTTGGAGCTGCCAAAGGATCTACAAAGCGAAAGTATGTTTCGATGTCCATCAAACAAAAAGTGGAATTGCTGCAAAAAATGGATAAAGGCATATCCTTTGTTTCTCTAACCATTCCGAAATTTGCTTATCAATTTTACGCTGCCCTGCGCGGTAGTTGGGGACGCCGTGGCGCACAACGAATTGGAAGTTGATCTATCAGCACTATCCTTATCTTCAGGGCAGATGTTTTTATTTTATTTGGCTTATAATTCTTTACTAAATATAGTATTTCATCTCAATGTTCTTCGTCTTTGATATGATTTAAATCATATTCCTCGTCATTATAATTCGCTTCCGATAGTGAAGAAAGTGACACAGAGGTTATTGAAAACGAAAAAATTTCGATTTACAAATTAGTCGGTATTCTCGACACAGCAATTATAGGACTTGAACAGCAGAACTTTGTAACTGAACAAGAAATTATGTCTGTTTATAGAATTAAAGAGAAAGTATTATCACTTAAAACGAAGCAACTTAAACAACTTACATTGAAAGAAATGTTTAATAAAGTAAACAAATAAATATTAAGCTTTTTTTTTTTTTTTTTTTTGTAAATTTTGATAACCTTTAGATCATAATTGTTTTATTTTATAAATTATGGTTTCATATTTTTGATTTTATAATTTCTGCATGCCATCTTACCAGATTTAAACTGATGATCTATAATCCGGTATCGCCGAAGCCCCGAAGAGTCCGGATTAACAACTTTTGACTGTATTATCTTTCTACAGGAACTTATTTTTACTTCCTATTAAATATAATATCCATTTCAATTACTCTTTTGAAAAACATCATATATGACGAATTTTATTATGTCTATGGCTAACAGAATATTTGTCAAACTAAAAATGGATTACTTAGCTTAAGTCTGTGAGTGACTGTTGACCTTGAAACAAAATTCAGATTGCATAAATTTACGAGCATAAGAGAAAAAACTTAAACAGGTATTTTGAATTTTATAGTTAAAAATACTTTGTTTCTTTGCATACCACCTATTTTTCTCTGGCATACCACAGGTTGAGAATCACTGCTATAATGGACAATTATCTATATTCAATTTGGAAATGAGGCAATATGAAAGAAGTAAATGAAAAAAAATGGGATTAAACACATACACTGGCTAATCTTTACTGTGTGGTATCCCTTGGTTTTTTCCTGAAAAAAATTGCCAAGCGGTATTGGTTGTTCATGAAATCTGGAAGCCCGCTGCACTTTTTTGTAATAGGAACCCTTTTGTATGGACGGGTTTTTGGTTCTTACTATTCTTTTCATGTGCTGTGTTTGCTTACACGAGTGTGGTACGGTCTTGGATTTTGAACTTGCTATTGTTTTGCTGTGGGTACCATCATTTGAGTATGTCTGAGGTGATTAAGAGGATGAATGTTGATTAATAGAGCCAAAACGATGAAAAATTTAATTTAATTGCTTACCTGGTGGATGGTGGAGATAGTGATGAAAAGCCTAAACATACGCACAATGAAAAAAATTTAAAAATTTATGTTAAAAAATTGATGTTTCATTTATTTATTTGTCTCTGTGCGTTAATTTTTGTTAAAAGATTTGCTTTTTAATGTTTTTATGTTAGGAAATACGTATTTTTGGTTATTTATTCCTCTCTGTTTATTTTTGATTATTTGTTCATCTCTGTATGTTAAGACAGCAGTAAATTTGGTTAGAGTAGATTTAAGGGTACCCCTTGCATTATCGCTAAGTTGTTATTTCATTTATGGTAACCTGAGTAGTTGAATGGAATGGAAACTCTATTATGACGTAATTGGTTACATGATTGCGGTGGATTTTAATGAAGGGAAAAAATGAAGGGCTTGTTTATGTGTTAGATGTTGCTTAGGACGTAGTGGTTAATTTGTGGTTTACATGGTAAAAAGGCCGAATGTGGTAAGATTAATTTGAATTTCCTGTATGATTTGGAATGAAAGGGAAAAAAGCATTAATTGACTGGTGTGTAAATGAAGGTTTACTTAGTAGCCATTATAAGTGTCCTGTTAGTAGGAAGGAAATGTGTATGATCGTACGATATCGACACTACGGAGGATATTTTTTACTCTTATTTTTGTGAATTTATGTGGCGATGCCAATATACACATTCTAGTTTAGATAATTTTAGGAAGTTTTTGAATGCTGTTAAGAAATTTTGTTTGACTGACGACTCGAAAATTCGTAAATAAGTAAGTGGATATTTTCCTTGTGTAGTGCTAAGGTGCATTCCTTTTTTTTTTTTAATGTTACTTCATTGTTTGATTTAAAATGTAGTTTATTGCAATTATATATTTTTTGTTGGCTGCTCCTTTGACTTTTTAAGTGAATATAGATCGATGTGTACATGGACAAAATCAAGGGAGTGCACAATGCCTAGTTTGTGCAATTCTCTGATGTTTCTTTAAGTGGAAATAGATCAATGCGTACATGGATAGTGAATTTGTACAATTCTTTGTCTTGTTATTTTGGATTTGTAAAGTGGTGATTTTTGGTTACACAAAACCAAAATAACAAGTCAAAGAATTGCAAAAACTCAGTGTCCATGTACCTCCAAAAATCAACAAAGGGCACCAGTAAATATATTTTTACCGGCGAATTTTTTCTGGCTACCCAGATCGTTTTAACTTTGTTTTAGCTTCCTGATTTTGTTTAAGTGAAAATAGATCGATGTGCAAATGGACAAAGTTAAGGCAGCCCAATGTCCAGTTGGTGCAATTTTCTGATATTTTTTTAAGTGAGAATAGGTCGATGTGTACATGGACACCGAGTTGTATCGTCATGCAAGTCTTTGACTTCTTATTTTGGTTTTGTGTAACAGACATTTTGAAATTGCCACTGATCTTGGCATCAAAGAAGAAACGATTCGTCAAGGGGTACCATATAGTAAATTTTTACCCAAACATATTTTTAACACTAAAAAATTTATTACAGTTTCCAAATTTAGTTATTCTTATATAGTATACATATAAAATTTTTATGCTCAGTAAATTACTATTTCAGTGCAAGATTTTTGAATTTATTTTACAGAGGAATTGTACAATATACTATGTCAATAAACCTTACACTCATCTATAATTTTTTTAAATTCTCTCAAAAATATCAATTATATCACGAATTTATTTATATTTCAAAACATAATCAGCATAACCTCGTAAGTTAAATTCTATGAAGATCTATAGCATATACGAGTTAAACTGTATATGGTGTGTTTATAAATAAATAAGTTGTTAAATCACTAAACGGTCATATATTAAAGGTTACAGCCTTGAACAGAATATGAGCTAAAACTTACAGAAAGCCAATACGTAAAAAGAAATATGTAGAAAAATATGCTTAAGTAACTGTGTTCTATATTTTTAGCTTGACGGCTATCAAAGAAACCAAAAAATACAAGGAAATAGTCCAACTAGGATTAAAACTTAGGAAAAACTAGTAATTTAATTTTTCCATAACTAGAAACAGACTGAACATACAGCATAAGCACCAAACATCAAAGTTTAGAGATATGTACAGTTAATATGAATATCAACATATTTTTCTGAAATCTTTAATTAGAGCATATAGTCACATTTTTTAACTTAACTTAATAATGAAAGCATTTTCTCTGTGACAAATTTAGTTCTTAATTATCACACTCCTAACCATTACATCCTTAATATAAATTGTTATAAAGTAACTGTTATGATCAGTTTCTCCGTACAGATAATGAAAACAATTCCAAGATTGAGGTCTCCCAAATAATTTTCAGACATACAAACTACTTATATTATTACTTATGAAGATTCAAATAGAGAGTTGGTACCCTGAAGATTAATGCTCTTAACTAAAAATTTGTCAAACCTATGACTGTGCTTCCAAAATGTAAACTGTTGTACATTATAAAAGTTGTACAACTGATTTCATTTTTTATCAACAAATATTTATGAACTATAAAATTAACCTCATTGTCTTTTGCATATAAATACGAAATGGCAGTCGTAAATTCTATAGAACAATGAAGCGGCAAATATATAAAATCTAATGCCATTACTTTCATCAAAACCCTTTAAGTACCAAGAATCGTTCCAAATGAAGTCGGTGATCGTTTACAGAATAACATTTATAAGGCTGGTAACAGGCTTTTCAACTTTTGGAATGAAAGTATGACATACCGCTTGTATGATTACAGGGTTTCAATCAACGGGAGTATCTTATATTACATATCAACAGGAAAATCTTTCAAAGTCTTCACAAATAACTTTATAGAAATTTTGAACCAGAAACGTATTAACACAATGTCCGAATACAAATTAATGTCATAAAGCATTCCCAAATTTCCCGAGCATAAATTTTAGAGTATAAACAAAGAATGATAGAATTAGTTACGATGTGTAATACGATCAACAATTTGCATTTACAAAACTACTACTATCAAAAACTATAGGTATCTACTAAAGTCAAGTTTTTTACTATATTTGCAATGTAATATTTTTACGGAATTCCGAGTTAACATAAATAAATTACCTTAAATACTGCTGCAAACGATTTTGCATCTTTTCTGATTCTGTAAGCATTTTATCATTAGATTTCAAAGACACTTTTTTCGTACGCACTTTTTTCGTTAAATTCAAATCTACTGCATAATTTGAATTATAATCGTTGCAATCTAAGACGGTTTCAGCGGATTTACGTCCCAGGCCATGACTACTTTGCAAGGCGTCTTTGTCAATGTTAGCTGGTAATGATTTTTTTCTGTTATGTTTACATTTTTTTCCAACAACAGATTCTCTGCTCTTTTCTCGGGATGCCTGTATTGAAAGTTGTCTGTTTTCCAGTTTCATAGTGATAGCATTCATCACTAACCGTACAATGTGCTGGATTAAGGAAAATTATTACAGTACATGATAAGGTAACCATCTTGAACAGCAATCAGCTGAGCAGAAAGCTGAAGGCGGAGCTACGCAGATGATGGATCTAACTTTCAAAGACTCAGTTTTTGTTTTACTTATTTTTTGTAAAACAGTCAAAATATTTCTGAACAGTACATTTAATTAAATAATATCAAAATACAGTTTTAAAATATGCATCTACTTGTTCAAAATAATAGGACATGATATAAATTATGTTTTAATCAAATATTTTTTCCACTAAAATTATTAATCTCTCAAAAATTTATAAACTTGATATTGAATTTAAAATACAATTAAAACTGTTATATATGTTACTTTTACGCATTACTCTTTGTTTAAATACAAGTAAAAACTGTGCTATCTTGATTACATATTTCTCTATATCATTTGTAGGAAGATTTATAAGATAAGCAGAAATAAAAATTTTCCCCACGTTTATAAACAAATACATAAATGAAAAATAAGCATTTTAAGTAGATTTAATAGTAACAGTGATCTACCTGTAGATGTCGCTAAGCGAATTTACGAACGTGGAATTGTGTTTAGGCCGTGTGCTAGCGCTGAAAATAATGGTTTGCCATTCATTTTGTACGTAGGCCATTTAAGTCTGTCAAGTGGATTTAATTATTAAATAGTTGTAGCAATTTTCATATAATTAAGCTAGCTATGGCAAAAACATACGATTACTTATTCAAACTTTTATTAATCGGAGATTCCGGCGTTGGAAAGACTTGCATACTTTTCCGGTTTTCAGAAGATACATTTAATTCGACATTTATTTCAACAATTGGTAAGTTACTTTCTAGATATAATTATACCGGTTTTTAACTAAGGAATTTTTTTGTCTTCGTATATTAATTTTCTGTTTCTTTTAAACTTCTGTAGCTGTCAGATGTTTATATTACTCGAAATATAGTAATCTATCCAGTCTAAAAGTATGATATTGATAAATATTACTTTACTTAACAGTATCTCAAAGTTATTTATGTATATTGGCTTCCTTGTAGTTTTAAAAAATTATCTATGATTTAGTAGATGTGAAGAATTTAATTTTAATATTCAAAGACCTGTATATGATACTCATGCGGTACGAATTAAGGTTAGAAAAAAAAAACAATATTAAATTTTGAGGCTTCTTTGTAGTCTTAAGAACAAAAATGTTTTATTCTTCATTCGTCACCTATCTCCCATCCTCAGACATGTAAACTGTGATACTGCATTTCTGTATTTGAACACTAAATGAATCTTCAATGAATCAAATGAAGTAGATATGAGAGTGACATTGTTGTGAATTGCTTAACTTTATAATAATAACTCTAATCTTAATAATAACATAACATAACAACTTTATTGTTATTATTACTGCCATTCACATGTTCTGTCATGTGTTTTTTTTAATTGTTTGCTGACTTTTTAATATTCATTGTTTCATAACAAGATAGGTAGGTGATAAATTTCTGACTTTTATAAATAATGAAATGCAATAATAATACCTATAATAATAATGTAATTTAACAGCTTAACATGCTGTAAAGCAGAATAGTGTTGCAAGTCCGAATTTAAAATATCTCTGTGGAGTAAAATATTTGACCTCTCACTTTTTTGTATCTAAACTCTTTCATATGATTATGAAGATAGTCTTCCATTATGTTTTTAATCTTGTAGTCCTACAAAGTATGTAAAAATTAATTTTTGCATTAATAATATTTTATACAAATATATTGAAAAGAAAGTTAATTTATTTTCTGCTTCATTCTGTCCTTATGTCATTCGATGTGCCCTGTAGTACAGAAGTTCAGCTATTTCACTAGCCAGAATGCAAGCAAAAAAAAAAAAAAAAACCAAATCTTGGTTTTCATTTGTGTGACTCTGGTGTTTTATATGTTTAATGTAAAAATGAACAACCTTTCAAAGAAAATGAAAGACAGATTTGCATAGTCAATATAGATATAATGTGCATTGCTGTTAGTAAGTAATCTAGTCATAAGGCAAGTATCTATTTTCAGGCATTCAATTACAGTCAAAAGTCGTTAATCCGGACTCATCGGGACTTCGGCGATTCCGGATTATAGATCATCCTTTTAAATCTGGTAAGATGGCATACAGAAATTATAAAATTAAAAATATGAAACCGTAATTTATGAAATAAAGAACAATTATGATCTAAAGGGTATCAAAATTTACAAAAAAAAAAAAAGCTTAATATTTATTTGTTTACTTTATTAAACATTTCTTTCAATGTAAGTTGTTTAAGTTGCTTCGTTTTTTAAGTGATAATACATTCTCTTTAATTCTATAAACAGACATAATTTCTTGTTCAGTTACAAAGTTCCGCTGTTCAAGTCCTATAATTGCTGTGTCGAGAATACCGACTAATTTGTAAATCGAAATTTTTCGTTTTCAATAACCTCTGTCACTTTCTTCGCTATCGGAAGCGAATCATAATGGCGAGGAATTTGATTTAAATCATATCAAAGACGGAGTGCATTGAGATGAAATACTACATTTAGTAAGGAATTATAAGCCAAATAATATAAAAACATCTGCCCTGAAGATAAGGATAGTGCTGACAGATCAACTTCCAATTCATTGTGTGCCGCTGTGTTAAAGATAAACAAAGTTTAGATAAACAAACGTTAAAGTTTAGATAAACAAAGGATATGCCTTTATCCATTTTTTGCAGCAATTCCACTTTTTGTTTAATGGACTTCGAAACATACTTTCGCTTTGTAGATCCTTTACATATTAGTAAATATATATCAGAAATTCTATTTGACATAATCGAAGTAATCGAAAGTTCAAGCTTACTTTTATAAAATTGCTCTAACAGTCTGCAAAAAATAATAAGCCGAATCCAATTCAAAGATTAAGGAACAACGCAATCTGCAACATTAACTGAATTAGGTAATTTTAGCTTAGCTTATACCGTCCGTTATACATTAAACGCGCATTCGTAAACCTATTTTCCGCACACCAATATTTGCAGCCGTAAAAGTCTTACGCGCAGAAAGTTTGTAGCTTTGAGGCCCGGATTATGGGTGTCCGAATTAACGACTTTTGACTGTATTTGTTTCAGTTCAAAATATTCAAGACTGAATAATTGTCATCTGTGAATGAAATGGAATTGCTCAATTTTTTCCCCTAACACTATGAAAAAAATAATGTACCGTATGTTATGTATGTGAATACCCATTAAAGTAAAAAACAATTTTAATGAGAAATCTCATAATTTTAATGACATTTAATGTACTAAATTATCTTAAAATTTCCTTGATAAGTAAAGTTTAATATTATATGAAACTTTTTAAAAGTATGTCCAGTTTAATTTAAACAGCTGATTTAAAAACCTATTTATTGATTGAATTTGTTTAATTTTTGTTCGATATCATGATGTGAAGACAAAAGAAAAATTGATACCATTCTTTCCATAATACTGAATTTGTTAAATATATATATTTTATTTTAATGTAATTTAGGGTGATAAAATAATTGAACTGCTTTCAGGTTTTTTTACTGTATCTCTAGGTAGATGTATTTTTATGAATATTAAAAATTGCAAAATTTTATTAAAGTAGATTTAATCTGTACATTATAGCTTAAAAGGGTACTTAATCCTCTAAGTGGCCAAATTTGAAATATGTCTAAACCGTTTAGCCAGTGTATTGGAAGAAAAAGACTTTAAATGCAAAATAGTAAGAGCATTTTGGATTTATAATGAAGAAAATATATCTTTCTCGTGGCTTTTTGAGGGAACTGTAAGGTTTCAGGATGAAACGTTTTGACTACTTGTAGGGTTTAATTTAATTTTTAAAAACATGGTATTTAAAATCTTAATTTCTATTGCAATTTTTTGCTTTTAAAAGCAGTTAGTCCATCATTATTTAGCTCTTATTTTCCATTGATGATTTTCCATAGAAATGTATAAAAAGGATACTTTTCCAATTATGCAGCTGATGCAGTTTTGGGCCCCTATGAAAGAGAACACTAATACATGCCAAGACCCAAAGCTAGCACTGTCTAGAGACCAGCTGGCAGGTATATAGTGAAAAGAGACCATAAAATGTTACCAGTTTTCTCTACTATATAAATGTTATCATTAATAGTCTTTATAAATTATGAGATTTTGTAAAACATCTGTGCATACATTTATAAAAAGGGTACTTTCTTAATATCTGCAGCTCCAATGGAATGGTGCAAGCTTGCTGGTGACTTTGGAGAGGAAAAAAAAAAAAAATTGTTTACATATCTTTACATCTGTCTCTGCAGTGCATTGAGTATTGCATTTTTTTTTTTTTTTTTATGTTCTTTTTTCTTGTATAAGATGGAACTTCTCAATTTTTTGTGTTGTTCTTTTCATGTACACAATGATGTGTTTTCACTAAAAAAAAACTTCGGAATTGCTCTAAACCAGTATTATACACCAGCCATGTTCATATCCTCCAAGAACAGTTGAAGCTTCTGAGTATACTCTGTAATGAAGCTAAAAGAGGGTAAACTCTACAATTCCATTATAATTTGTTATGATCAAAACTAAATGTACTTAATTCAAAAAGAAATATTAATAAAAAATGTGACTGTTGACTTTCAAAACTGCAAATCCATGTGTGGCTATGGCTATATTTGCCACATAAATATTTTCTCATGATAAAGTACGTTACCTCATCAATACTTTTTGCAGCCTTTCCGTAGGAGTGTGAATAATCGGAAAGGCTCCAAAACAATCACATATTTGGTTCTGTTATGCCATGCATTTTGGCATGTGTGTGTGTGTGTACCATCTGTAAATTATTCTGATAGCTAGAAATTGTCTAAAGTTAATAAAAAAAAAATCCAAAATGCATGACAGGTACATAATGGAAAAATACCCATATTTGTGTATCTGTTATTTTTTTTTATAAGAATAGTCTTGTTTTCAAAATGTTTAATCTGTTGGATCTGAATTTGTTTCATGGAAGTTCACAGATTACTTATAATTTATTATTTCATAATAATTTCAAATTAATATTTCATAACTTTTTTTCTAGCTCAGGTAAAAAAATAATTTATTAATCAGTAAACTGTAATTATTTATCTCATTATAATCATTAATTATAATTTGTTTATTCATTCTTTTATTTAAGTATTAAAAAAATTTTAATGCGTATTAGAACGGGCCTGGACAAACTTTTTTGGCAAAGCATTCACATTAGGGATTTAAAAGACGCGGCGCGCAATGAATTGGAAGTTGATCTGTCAGCACTATCCTTATCTTCAGGGCAGATGTTTTTATTTTATTTAGCTTATAATTCCTTACTAAATGTACTCCTTCTTTGATATGATTTAAATCAAATTCCTCGTCATTATAATTCGCTTCCGATAGTGAAGAAAGTGACACAGAGGTTATTGAAAACTAAAAAATTTCGATTGACAAATTAGTCGGTATTCTCGACACAGCAATTATAGGACTTGAACAGTGAAACTTTGTAACTAAACAAGAAATTATGTCTGTTTATAGAATTAAAGAGAAGGTATTATCGTATAAAACGAAGCAACTTAAACAACTTACATTGAAAGAAATGTTTAATAAAGTAAACAAATAAATATTAAGGTTTTTTTTTTTTGTAAATTTTGATACCCTTTGATCATAATTGTTCTTTATTTCATAAATTATGGTTTCATATTTTTAATTTTAAAATTTCTGCATGCCATCTTACCAGATTTAAATTGATGATCTATAATCCGGAATCGCCGAAATCCCAACGAGTCCGGATTAACGACTTTTGACTGTATAGGCCTTGCTGGAATCACACACACTTGCTTACTTTTTTTTACTCGCTCATGTATTACTTGCTCATGTCTTGTCACTTCGCTATACCTGCTATTGTTTAAAAATGTGAGAAGTGTACATAGAATTGTGCAGTGCTTTTCGCACCCATAGTGATATGAAAATCGAAAATATATGTCTTAAGAAATTATTCTTTAACAAAATAAAGTTATGATTATACAGCTAATTGTGGTTTCCATTCATCTGTCATGCATCCTATTTGTGTGCAAGCCATATCTCTGATAAACAACTGGGCTATGATTAAGAAGCAATTAGTGTCATCATCTACAAATTTACAAAAATATCACACATGTGTATAAATGTTAATAAATGTGTGTGTGTGTGATTTGGAAAATGCTAAAGTATAATAAAGAAAATATGACAAGGCTGAATGTAATACTTCCTTTTTATTCTCTTTAGCCAAAATATTTTATTAGTGAACACAAAATAAATTGGTGCTGTAGCATTTGTTTTTGAAGAAATAAATTGGAACCATTACATTTTTAAAATGTAATTAAAATGGAAAGTGAAATGTGATGAATTCTGAGATAGAAGCTTAGTTCAAAAGGATTTTGGGTTCTGGTTTGCATGTTAGTTTCACTTTGCAATTATATGTGTCATTTATTTAAATAAACACCTTTTTGTTTGATTCAAAAAAAAAAAAAATGTTAATTTAGAAAGGTTTGAGGAAGAAATAATGATTTTTATTTTCTCCTTTTATTCTCTTTCTTAAAAAGTTAATTTTTTGTGCTTTTAACCCTGCAGAGAAATTTTTAGTTCTCTGTGACAGTTGTAATAATATAATTATACAAATTAAGCTGTAAGTGGAAAGTACTCTTTAAAATTGCACTTGATGCTTATTCTTAATATTTAATTTATTGACTGAAATTTGACATATATGTAGGAGTGAAATGTTTATAATGCATAAAATGGAACCTATTCCTGAAATAATTTGCTAGCTTTGTTTTGTTACCATTGTAACTGTTTCCTAAGAAAAAGTGAACAATAAAGAATGGGAATTTATTGTTTTTATTCACTCTATTGTTTAAATGATTTATGTGTTACAAAATTGCATGACCTGTGTGGTCAACAATATATAATTTTGTGAAAGTATTCCTTTTTATAGTCAAAAGTAAAATTTTGTTAAACTTGATTATCCTGTAAATATTTGAATGAATTTTCTCCCATTTACAGGAATAGATTTCAAGATAAAAACTATTGAATTAGATGGAAAGAAAATAAAGCTTCAAATATGGTATTTTAATTTTTTCTATAGTAATGTTTGTTTCATTTCAGGTTTTGAGAAATAGATTATATTGTGGACTGAAAATTTATGTTGCTTCCTGTTTCTTGAATAAATAAATTTTCTTTAATGCAAATTTCACCCCTGATCCGTACCCTCCCCTTCTCAACTGCAAATGCAAGCATTACTTTTCATAAAATAGCATTTATTTCATTTAAGGCTCAGCTTTTTTTCTCTTTCTTTCTTTCTTTCTTTTTTTTTTTTTTTATCTTCTTTTTAAGTGCTATTAATCTTGAAACTTTCATTTTGTCTGTGTCAAATAATTGCCACCAAAAGTTATTGCCATTTATTATTTTAAAAAATTAAGTAATGGAATATCTATATGTATGTTCCTTACGTTGAGGGAATACAATAGGAGTCTATCACTCAAACATATGCACCTCGAAGCTTGAATGTTAATTTTTTTTATTCATATTTTGTAGAAATGTAATAAATTTTTATTAACAGACTCAGCAGTTTGAAAATAAAGAAATGGTGACACTGTTTGAAATAAAACATTTTTTTCCAGTGTGCACGATTGTTGCCATTTGACAAAATAAGAGATATTTATCTTTCCATTTCAATCAACAAACTCCACTGTTTGAAAGCAATATGTTGCACTATCAGAATTAAAACATTTTAAATTTCCATGCCCCAGCATGTTGTCATTCAGTGAAGCCTAACTTTCAGATTTAATTTGAAAGATTGTTAACAGATGAAGTGCTTTAAAAGCAATGAGCATAGTTCTTATGCTTATATTTTTGCTACTTTTTAATGGAATTGTTTTAAATAAAAATTCATTAAAATTAATTATGTATATTATCAGAAATATTAAATTTTAAATAAACAATACAGTAAATATAAAAATAATGTTTGGCAGAATTGGAATTCGGATATTCTAAAGATATTCTGTTTTTAAATAGTTCATGATTTTGTCATATAGTTGTTGAATTTTATGTAGTATGAGTGCTAAGACTGTAATGCATAATAAATAAAGTTGAGCACATAAAAAATAAATAATAAAAAGACAAGAAAAAAACAAAAAGTTTGGTTGAGTCTTCTTACCTTAAAAAAAAAAAGGGGGGGGGGAATATATGTCAATACTATTGGGAATTCTGAATATATGCTGCTTTTAAAAATTTTGTGATTTTGCTGTCAGTTGTATGTGGCATAAGTGTGGTGAAAGTAATGCTTAATAATAAGGCTAAAAGGACCCCCCCCCAAAAAAAAAATGTGATTGCATGAGTTAATCCAAGAGCAGTTTGGTAACCTGTGGTGCTCAGTGAAGTATAAAAAGCCTTAACAAAAAGCATTTGGTGCAGTGTTAAAATATGAATCCTTTAAGATTTCCCTTTATTTTCTTTTTTAAAAATGTGTGATATGGAAGTGTCAAATGTTCGTTGCTATCTAGTCAGACATTATGTTTCATGATGTCTAATCATAACGGAATTGTACCAAATTTGCTTTGCTTTCATAAAATTTGACAATGATTTTTGATTTTAGAAATGCCTAGTTGAGTATTTCTGCTTTTCACATCATGTGAAGTTTTGTCACCATAACATTAATCATCTATCTGTTGGCAAATTTTTAGTTGTCTCGGTTGCTGTCATTGTCTCAGTTGCTGCAAATTTTTAGTTGTCTCAGTTTTGATATTTAATTATCTTTTCCAACAAACTGCTGATTCTAAGATTGTTGTCAGTTAAAGGGCAAAAGAATTTTAATATAATAAAAGTACATTCCAAATTAAGTTGCTTAAAAAATGTGTGTATTTAATAATAATTCTTACCTTTATTTTATTTCTAATAGTATATTTATTTAGTAAAATTATAATACAGTACACTCACAATTAACCATGCCTTGTCTAGAGAAAAGGTTAAATTCGTTTATTTCAGAGTGATTAAAATTTCTGGCACAGAATCACTATATCCTAATAAAAGAAAATTTGCATGGGAAATACAAAAAGGAGAAGGAGCTAGTAGGATAACATTAGTGATAGCAGATGCTGTCATTATTTTTACCTTTAATTGAAAATTGTTTTTACCTATAGCAATATGCAGTTTGATTTACATAATCTGGATACATTGTTAAAATTGTTAAATCAACCATTAATAAATTCTTGAATAAAAAAAAAAGTAAAGTCTACAGCTGTCAATGATCTGTTTCATTGATTCATATTGAAAAAATGATAGGAACAGAAACATTATTAATTCTTTTTTTAATTGTGGTCTGATATTGAATGCAAAAATTATTTAAATGATCAAATGAATTTTTAAAAAAGAAAGTAAATTCTTAACATTATTTATTGCTAATTATAGTATGTGTTAATCCTCTCTTATTTATATATATGTAGGGTGTCATTCTACTTTGACTAATGATGACACCGGTAATAAGATTTAGTACTTTAATGGGGGGACAGAGAAAAATAATGATGACACCGGTAATAAGATTTAGTACTTTAATGGGGGAACAGAGAAAAATGAAAAGAAGTAAGTTGAAAAATGAGTCTGTAGCATTACACCAAAAGGGATAATCATCACATCAAAAAAAAGGTTTTTAAATTCATCATCACTTTTGTTCATATTTTCTCGTCTCCATCTCAGTGGCGGAATCCTCTCACACAAACAAAGAAGGAAGAATTTTATGTTGCACTTTGTGGAGCCATATAGCTATAAAAATATATATTATAAATCAGGGGTCTCCAAACTTTCCAGCCTTAGGGCCATACTGATTACTCCAGTAAGTTCCGAGGGCCAAAACCATATTATCATTGTTGCCGGTGGTAAAAAGTGAAATAGTCCACTGATGGAAAAAAAAAAGTCCGAAAAAGTACGCAACGTTTAAAAAAGGCTGCAAATCGGACTAAAGTCCACAAAACGGCAACACTGCATGTTATTAATTTTCCTGTCATTATCTGTAATTTCTAGATTAGTCGTAGAGTACGAGTCATGAGGAGTAACGTGACACGACATCTGGTGGACACAAGCGGAAATAGGTAGTACCTTCTATCGCTAACAGATGGCGCTAATAGCACGTACAGAAGTCAGTTTCTATGACAATGTTGTGAAATAAAATAGTGCGTACCTCCTTAAAACGTGTTTGTGCGTGTTTAAGACAGTGTTTGTAACAGTATTTTGATTTGAATTGTTGCTTTTCTGTGTGATTTAGTAGTATGGAAAAGAAGCGAAAAATTGATAGTGAATGCAGAAAATTCAAAGATCAGTGGAACATTCAGTATTTCGTAATTGAGTCCAGTAACAAGGCGCTTTGTTTGATTTGCAATGAAAGCATAACTGTTCTCAAAGAATATAACATTAAACGTCATTATGAAACAAAACATTTTCAAAATTATTCAAAATATACTGGAAGTCTGCGGACAGAAAAATTCGAAGCTATGAAGCGCGGATTGATGATTGAAATCGCAGCAATCTTCATTTACAAAACTCAAAAACTGAACAAGAGGCTGCAACTCGTGCCAGCTTTCGTGTGGCTCTTGAAATTGCAAAACGTGGAAAACCATTCACCGATGGAGAAATGATCAAAGAATGCATAATTGCAGTAGCCGAAGAAATATGCCCTGAAAAGGTAAATTTATTAAAAACTGTCAGTATGTCAGCAAACACTGTGGCTCGAAGGGTCGAAAACATCGCTGAAAATATATCCTCTCAACTGTTCGACAAAAATGGACATGTTGAGTGGTTTTCTTTGGCCTTGGATGAGTCAACGGATGTGTCAGATACTGCTCAGGTGTTGATTTATATTCGAGGAGTAGATAAAAGCTATGAAGTGCATGAAGAACTTCTTGATATGTATAGTATTCATGGCACAACTACTGGTACATATATTTTTAAAGGAGTTGAAATGGCCATTAATCAAAAGAACCTTCGATGGAAAAACTTGAAATGTATTACAACTGATGGAGGCAAAAACATGAGTGGGAAAGATAAAGGAGTGGTCGCTTTTGTGTCAAAGGCTGTAGAAAATGACGGTGGTTCAAAACCATTAGTCTTACATTGTATCATTCATCAACAGTCTTTGTGCGGAAAATGTTTGGATATGTCTGAAGTTCTGAAACCAGTCATATCAACTGTTAATTTTATCAGATCTGTTGGGCTGAATCACCGACAATTCCGACAATTTATTGAAGAGATTGGAGAAAATGACTTACCTTATCATACTGCTATACGTTGGCTTAGTTGTGGGAAAGTCCTTCAGCGCTTTTTTGAACTTCGAGCAGTGATCGAAATTTTTTTGAATGAAAAGCATCGCCCTCTTACTGAATTACAAAACAACGCATGGCTGTGGAAGTTAGCATTCTATGGTGATTTGACAAAACATGTGAACGAACTGAATATGATATTGCAAGGAGAAAACCAGCATCTTCCTGGTTTATACACTAATATCAAATCATTCCGGAAGAAATTGATGTTTCAATCACAACTATGAAGTAAATGTTTTTCACATTGTAAAACATGTGAAATATTCAGCCACACCACTGAGACTGAGTTTCCTATCGATTTTGCTATCGAAACTTTGAGTGCTTTGAAAATAAATTTTGATACTCGTTTCTCGGACTTTGATGCCATTGCGAATCAAATTAAGATTTTTCAGAATCCTTTTGATACTGACATTGAAACCCTAGCCCCGGAACTTCAAATGGAAATGATTGATCTACAGTGCAGTGATATAATTAAGAACAAATATCAAAATTCATCTTTGTTGGAATTTTATAAGAGTCTTCCACTGACACAATTTGATAATTTACATAAATTTGCTCGTGGGCTGTTTTCTGGTTTTAGTACACTTCTGTACTTACTTGTGTGAGAAGACCTTCTCCAAAATGAAGTACACAAAAAGTGTTTACAGATCTAAATTAACTGATGAGCATCTTAAATCTCTTTTAATAATTGGTACAAGTAAAATTAGTCCACAACTACAAACTGTTGTCAGTGGAAAATCTCAATTACATAAATCTC